GGATGTGGAGTATCGACGAACAAGAATGTGTCTGGAATGTGGGCGGTCGACAGTGGTGCCACACACCACATCTGTAACGACAAGTCCAAGTTCGCCAATCTCATCGAGCGCAATGAAGGCGAACTTTCGGTGGCCGACGGGAACAAGGCGGCTATCAAGGGTGTAGGGACCATCGTGGAAAGAGTGGTCCTGCCCAACGGCACCGAGCGCGAGATCGAGATCAAGAACGCGCTCTATGTGCCTAACATGAGCAAGAATCTGCTTTCAGTACCGCAGATCAACAAGAACGGAAAGTTTCAGGTGGTGTTCGATGGCACTGAGATGCACATCTCACGCAAGGACTCGAATCAAGTGGTGGCATCGGCGGATCTCGTAGATGGACTCTACTGGCTTCGCACGCCTCTTCGATCAGCAAATGCGGCGACAGCTGGAAGGACGGTCGACCTGCATGCGCGTATGGGTCACGCTCCAGTCGAGGTGCTTCGCAAGATGGTCAACAACAAGATGATCAAGGACGCGAAAGCACCTTCCAAGCCTAGCGGACCAAGTCTGTGTCGCGGCTGCCAGCAAGGCAAGATGGTCCAAAAACCATTCCCTACCAACCGTGACAAGCGTCGCTACGACACTTTCGAGTTGCTTCACTTCGACATTTGCGGACCCATGGAGAAGTCCTCGCTTGGTGGCAGCAAATATTTGCTACTGATCGTGGACGAAGCCAGCGGATGCATGAAGGGCTTCTGCCTGCGTGCCAAATCAGAAAGCGAAGACTGCATCAAGACGTACATCACGAAGGTGCAGAAGCAGTTTGGCAAGAAGGTCAAGTTCGTGCGACACGACGGAGCTCGTGAGTTTGCGACTAACTCGCTTAAAGATTTCTACGAAGACGAGGGCATCGAGCAACAAACCACGGTTCCGTACGCGCACCAGACTAACGGCACGGCAGAGCGGGCCATCCGCACCATCGTCACGATCGGCCGCAGCATGCTGCACCATGCCAAGCTGGACAAGTGTTTCTGGGGTGAAGCGGCGATGACGGCCATCTACGTGAAGAACCGCCTGCCGTCACCAAAGATCGAGTGCAAGACTCCGTTCGAGATTGTGTACAAGTCCGCGCCGAGTGTGAAACACATGCGCGTCTTCGGCTGTCGAGCTTTCATCTTAACTCCAAAGGAGAAACGGCTCAAGTGGGATCCAAAGGCTCGCGCCGGATTGTTCCTGGGCTACGAAGAAGTATCCAAGGCGTATCGACTTTATGACATCGAGGCGGGGCAGGTGGTTATCAGTCGCGATGTCAACTTCGATGAATCGACCTTTGGACTTTCAGAGCCAATTTCCGATGAAGACGTCGACGACCTGGACTTCGAATCTCTCGACATCGACAATGACGGTTCGCGTCAGACGGAGCACAGGCAGGCGGGAAAGCGCAAGAGCCGCCCGAGTGAAGATGAATCTGCCACAAGACCGCGAGCTACGCGTCATCGACCCGGACTGTAGAAGCAGTGCGCCGACCAATTCGTCTTCACGTCGAGCAGACGTAACGAAGAA